CTCCGACATGTCAAGGATGACACCTGCAAGCCTCTTGGGGAAGATCAACACCAATGACATGTACAAGTTGAAGAAGAAGGAGATGGAGGAAGCCTCACCATCCAAGAAGTGCATTGCTCTCCAAGCCGAAGTGGAAGACAAGGGTAAGAGCAAGGTGAATGAAGCCAATGATGACTTAGAGGAACATACTGCCCTTCTAGCTAGAAGGTTCAATGATCTCTTGGGAAGAAGAAAGCAGAGAGGAAGGGACTCCAACTCAAATAGAAGAAGAAATAGAAGACCCAACAAGACTCTTTCCAACTTGAGGTGCTTTGAGTGTGGTGAGAAGGGACATTTTGCTTCCAAGTGCCCTTCCAAGGATGATGATGGAGACAAGTCATCCAAGAAGTAGAGTGGAGGCTACAAGCTCATGAAGAAGCTCAAGAAGAAAGGGAAGAAGATTGAGGCCTTCATCGGGCAATGAGACTCAAATGAGGAGAGCTCCGCCTCATCCGGGTCCGAAGAAGAAGGTGATGATGATACAAGCTCCAAGAAGAAGAAGATGGCCGTTGTTGCCATCAAGGAGGCTCCATCACTCTTCGCTCCACTTTATCTCATGGCAAAGGGCTCTTCTAAGGTTACATCTCTTAGTGATAGTGAAAGTGACGATGACTGTGATGATGTTTCCTATGATGAGTTTGTGAGTATGTTTGATGAGCTCCATGTATATAGTGAAAAGGAGATTGTCAAGTTTAAGGCTCTAAAGAAGGATCATGCTTCTTTGGAGGTCTTGTATCAGGAGCTAAAAACTTCACATGAGAGACTCACCATTTCTCATGAGAAACTTAAGGAAACTCATGACACCCTCCTTTCTACTACCCAACATGGAGCTCACATTGATGTTGGCATATCTTTTGACTTGCTTGATGATAGTGCTACTTGCCATATTACTCATGTTGCATCATCTAGCATCTCTACCTCTTGTGATGATCTTATAGATATGCCTAGATCTAGCTCTAGCTCTTGTGTTTCTATTTGTGATGCCTCACTTGTTGTTGAGAACAATGAGCTTAAGGAGCAAGTGGCCAAGCTCAACAAGAGTTTGGAGAGGTGCTTCAAGGGTAAGAACACTCTTGACAAGATTTTGAGTGAGCAACGGTGCATCTTCAACAAGGAGGGATTTGGATTCATTCCAAAGAAGGGTAAGAAAACTTCTCACCGTGCCACTCGTTTTGTCAAGAGCAATGGTAAGTATTGCTCCAAGTGTTGTAAGGTTGGGCATTTGGTGAATGATTGCCCCGGTGGTAAGCCTTCTAAGACATGCATGTTTGATTCTCATTATATGCTTAGGAAAGCTCATGATGGTAGTATTGTTGCTAGATATATGGGTTCCCGTATACTTGGTGGTAAAAAGAATGCCATTTTGGTGCCCAAAGCTTTGGTTTCTAACCTCCAAGGACCCAAACAAGTTTGGGTACCTAAAAGAGCTTGATCTTCTTTTTTTAGGTGAACTACCGCATCGGTGAGAACCATTGGGTGCTTGATAGAGGATGCACTCAACACATGACCGGTGATAGGGCTATGTTCACCACATTTGAAGTAGGAGGGAAAGAACAAGAGAATGTGACTTTTGGAGATAATAGCAAAGGAAAGGTAATTGGGTTAGGTAAAATTGTTATCTCCAATGATTTGTCAATTGAAAATGTCTCTCTTGTTGAATCTCTAAATTTCAATTTGCTTTCGGTTGCACAGATTTGTGATATTGGCTTGTTATGTGCCTTCTTCCCGCAAGAGGTTATTGTTTCTAGTCTTCATGACAAGTCTTGTGTTTTCAAAGGTTTTAGATATGGAAATCTTTATTTGGTTGATTTCAACTCTAGTGAAGCAAATTTGAAAACTTATTTAGTTGCAAAAACTTCATTGGGTTGGCTTTGGCATAGGAGGCTAGCCCATGTTGGCATGAATCAATTGAGCAAACTTTCAAAACATGATCTAGTTGTGGGCTTAAAAGATGTGAAGTTTGAGAAGGATAAACTTTGTAGTGCTTGTCAAGCCAGCAAGCAAGTTGCATGCTAGCATTGGTGGTAATAGTCATTGTCTTGTGATTGTTGATGATTATTCTCACTATTATTGGGTGTTCTTTTTGCATGATAAGTATATTGTTGCCGAATTTTTCAAAAAGTTTGCAAAAAGGGCACAAAATGAATTTAGTTGCACTCTTATGAAAATTAAAAGTGACAATGGTTCCGAGGTTAAAAATACCAATATTGAGGACTATTGTGATGATCTTGGTATTAAGCACGAGCTTTCCGCTACCTACTCACCTCAACAAAACGGTGTAGTGGAGAGAAAAAATCATACATTGATTGAGATGGCATGGACTACGCTTGATGAATATGGTGTTTCCGATTCCTTTTGGGCGGAAGCCATAAACACCGCTTGCCATGCAACCAATAGGCTTTATTTGCATCGTCTCTTGAAAAAGACTTCCTATGAGCTAATTGTTGGGAGGAAGCCAAATGTTGCCTATTTTCGGGTTTTTGGTTGCAAGTGTTATATTTACCGAAAGGGTGTTAAACTAACCAAATTTGTAGGTCGGTGTGATGAAGGATTTCTTCTAGGTTATACCTCAAATAGCAAGGCATACCGGGTCTACAACAAAAGCAAAGGTATTATGGAAGAAACCGCCGATGTTCAAATTGATGAAACTAATGGCTCCCAAGAGGGGCACGAGAATTTGGATGATGTAGGTGATGAGGGCATGATGAGAGCTATGAAGAATATGTCTATTGGAGACATCAAGACTATTGAAGTTGAAGACAAGCCATCCACCTCCACTTAAGATGAGCCATCTACTTCTGCAACGCCAAGTCAAGCTCAAGTTGAAGTGGAGGATGTTGGGAATAGTCCCACATTGCTAATCTAGTGGGAGTTGAACCAACTTAAAAGTGGAGGGAGCCCCTCACCTCTTGAGCTAGCTTTTGGGGTGTAGAAAGGCTTTCTCCCGGTTAGGCGAACGTCTCCCGGTTTTGGGCCAACAAGTGGTATCAGAGCCAAACCCACAATCTCTAGTGCTTGTGCACACTCAGGGTGGTGTAAGCTCAAAGCCTAGTGGACCGCGGGTGTGAATCCCGTATGTGCCCGTGTGTGGGGCCGGTCAGGGCTAAGGGGTGCCAATGTGTGACGGGGGAGATTGTTGGGAATAGTCCCACATTGCTAATCTAGGGGGAGTTGAACCAACATAAAAGTGGAGGGAGCCCCTCACTTCTTGAGCTAGCTTTTGGGGTATAGCAAGGGTTTCTCCCCGTTGGGCCAACGTCTCCCGGTTTTGGGAGGAGGACAAGACACAAGATCCTCCTATGCCTCCAAGGATACACACCGCTCTTTCCAAGGATCACCCATTTGACCAAGTTTTGGGTGACATTAGCAAGGGTATCCAAACTCGATCTCGTGTCGCTTCGATTTGTGAACATTACTCGTTTGTTTCTTGTCTTGAGCCAAAACAAGTAGATGAAGCTCAACAACTTTGCAAGAAACAATGTGTGGACTTTGGTTGAAAGACCTTATTTCTTAACATTTTTTAATAGTAAAACCTTATTGATATGTAAGTTTTATATAATTTTACATTGTTATGCTATATTCTGTTGTATTAATGTTGTTACAATTATGTTTTTTTTATCTACTATAGTATTGTTCCTCAATGTTCAAATTCTATTAACTAGAAACAATGTGTGGACTTTGGTTGAAAGACCTTCTTTCTTAACATTTTTTAATAGTAAAACGTTATTGATATGTAAGTTTTATATAATTTTACATTGTTATGCTATTATTGTTACTCATGATGCGTTTATATTCTGTTGTATTAATGTTGTTACAATTATGTTTTTTTATCTACTATAGTATTGTTCCTCAATGTTCAAATTCTAGTAACTAGATTCACAACCCATATTTAAGATAATATTTTTTTATGAAAACCTTTATTTTTCTTGATGCATAACATGTTATGGGCCAACCACAAAGAATCATTTGTAACTATGGTAGAAAAAATGACTATATGATCATATCAAATAAATTATAATTACGTGACGACAATATAAAAATGTAAGAACACTTGATATTGAATCGTGGAGAAAATATAAATCTTTCACCAAATTTTATTTATGTGATTCTTTCTTTGCTTTCAAAATTTAAACATGGTCAGCATATGTAATCATTATGATATCTGAAACAATGGCCATGTATTTTTTTTTGGAGTAAAGCTACCATAAAAATGTGTCTAAACATAATGAGAGTCGTTAGTTTAAAAATGATTTCCTTTGTTAGCATTTATTTTTTCTTTCAAGGATATTATTGGGATATAATTTTGTATGATACTACAGTTCTTATATTATAATTGTTACTCCTAATATGTTTATATTCTATTGTACTAATGTAATTATAATAGTTACTTAATGTATTTTTAAGTTTTAGTGACTAAATACAATTTGAATGTAACAACCTATATTTTAGGTGGTAGGAGTATTAATGTAAAGATTACATATTGATGTTGGTAACCTACTCATTTTACTTCTGATGTATCGTGGTATGAGATATACATTGATAATTATGATGGCTAAATGATATAATTATATGTCAATATAAAAAGGTAAAAATATTCTAGATTTTATATGAAGGAAATACTAGACTGAAAGGCCAAATACATAGTAGCACAATTACCACACTTCTCTAAGAACATGTCGAAGATATACATACTTTTATCAATAATGAACTATTCTACCGAAGGGCATGTAATGCCTCGAGTTTTGAATTAATATATTTCGGGGAATATTAGAGCAAACACGCAAAAGTTCAACTTTTAAACCATTGTTCGTATAGGCGATCGGGAACCGTGGATGCATAGAGGTCGCTGAGTAGTGCAAAATAGACTATAAATTTATAGTAATCGGAGTTCAAACGAAGTCCCGAGGATTGAATAGATGTGGGCCGTTAGATCTTGTTTAGTCTCTTTATATAACCAACAAAAAAAACGAACGAAAAAAAAGAGAAACAGGAGAAACGCCCCTGTAGCCCTAGCCGCCGCACCTCCTGCGCTCTGCTGCCGCCGCTGCTGTTCCTGTCTTCGCCGGCGCCGCCGCTGGTGCAGCCGCCGCCGGTCGCCACAGCCGTCGTCGTCCACAGCCGGTCGTTGGTGAGCTACTGTTGTTTCTGTTAATTTCCCTGCTGTTGCCGATCCCTGCTGTTGCCGATCTGATCTCTTCCTTGCTGGTGATGCACGGCTTGCTGTTGCTGCCAATATTCGTTTCTGCTGCTGCTGCTGATGGCCTGCAACGAACAGGAAGGAGGGAGAGAAGGCAGAGACGAACAGGAAGGAAGGAAAGAAGGGGAAATTTGATAGAAGAAGGGAAATTTGGGGAATTTGGTGAATATTTCTAAATTCTTCGTTTTTCTTATACATTAGTACTGCTAGGTAATCTGTTTTAGTCCATAGTTGTTTCTAATTTATATTTAAGACGATCCGTTTCCGGTAGTTCGAATTTACTTTATATCGAACGCTAGGCTGAAACCGTATTTTGAAATCTGGTATTAAACCATCAGGAATCAGGTTAGTTGTCCTAAATAAATTTTGTAGTCATCGTCGATATCTTTCTGACGGCACTGGTTTCACTCAATTCCGATAAACGGTTTGGGAGGAACAACAAAAACAGTACTGCTGACCTGGTCTGGAAATCAGGACTGCGATTCATTTTTCTTAATCTGGGATTTTCAGAGGCATAATCTGATTTTGTGCTCAACATGAAAGTGGTAGACAATTTTGTCTAGATGTCCGAAGTTATATTATTTGCTAGATTCCATTAGATGGTTTGCAAGTTAGACATAAAACAGTAAGGGAACTGCTATAGATTATTTAATACAAATCGGTAAAAAAAGTCTATATGTTCGAGGTTATCGATTTTAGTGAATATCCCTTGTAACTGTCATTTAGTTGAGTATAGTGGTTTATGCGTAGTTTTACTCCACAAGTGTGGAGGATTCCAACGTTGGAGGAGTTGAGTCAGATTATCGAAGGAGTTAAGGCAAGTACAAGATGGACTTTTGTGTTTAATAAACTGTGTTGCTTTGTTGGTTTCATTTACCCAATTCTTATTCGAAGCTTCCTATTATCAATTGTGTGGTTTTGGTATTATGCTACATATTCATATTTCACTTCATGTTCAAGTTCACGACGTTATTCATGTTTCATTCTTCCGGAAGTTTTTGTTTACATTATTCAAGCACCATGTGTCATGGGAGTGCAATTTGAATCTTTTTGTTTACATTATTCAAGTACCGTGCGTAGTCATGGGAGTGCAATTTGGATCTTTATTCATGATCCTTGAGAAGCGCTGATCACTCTTACTCGGCTTATCGGTAATGCTAAGAGGATATTCATACCTGCCCGGGAGGGAACTACTATCTTTTGACTTCTTTGGTTTAAAATAAAGTAAATCCAACCCTTGATATTGGTTTCTTATTGCTTAAATCCTGTGTATGTTTTACTCGTTCAATATTGTACTTGCTGAGTACTTTTTACTCACTCTTGTGTTTAATTTGGTTTTTAGGTACCTAATGACATTGATCGGCATGGGGCGGGAGTAGCACCCTTGGACTACACATTATTATTGCACACAACTGAAATTTAGTTTTAGACTATTTTTTTGCTCAGCATAAGTTTTGCATAGAACTTATAAAGGTCATTTAAGGTTCTGATCCTTATTTTTCACGTGGGATTTGTGGAGCTAGGATGGTTTGGATTGTGTGGATTATATCGGTATTGACCTTTCTTATCACTGCCTGTCGTGGATGTCTGTATTTTTAGGGGAGACTCTGCCAAAATTTCTAATAATTTTGGGACTTAGTTTTCGAGTGTATTTGTATTTTGGTGTGGCATTCTAGGTACGTGGTTACCTGGGGTGTTATAGGGCAGGCTTCACTCAAGGTGGAAAAAAAATGAAAACAGTAAATGTGTATTAATAATGAAAAATTGGATCCCCTATTACACACCCCTCGGGGTCTTTTTATAGTTTTACGACCCTAGAGTTTGGCGTGCTAGTGAATTTATATGATTGTCTCTTTGATGGAACAATTATGAGGGATACTGTAAATAACGTGTTTTATATATATATATATATATATATATATATATATATATATATATATATATATATATATATATGGGTAAATTAACTGGTGCTACATGGAGTATGGGCTCCAAGATTCAAATTGAGTATATACCCAATTTGAATGAGTATGGAATTTTTTTAGTTGTTTAGATATGGACATTAACTTCTTTACTAACAAGTTCAAACAAGTTTGAACTGAGTTTGAACTTTTTTTTTTAGATTTTGGTTCTAGGTATATAACATCCAAACATATAATTCGTTAGGTATATAATAATGAATTATAAAATAAAGTTGAGTTTGAGTTGTTTTGTTGTTAGGTATTTGTATAAATCAAATTCATATACCTAGGTATATACTCACAATTTGAAAATTTTTAAAAATTTGAGAGAATTTGTGTATTTTATACCTTGGAGCTCGGACACCATGAAGTCCCATATATATATATATATATATATATACATATATACATATACATGTATATATATATACATATATACATATACATGTATACATGTATATATATATATACATATATACATGGTGACGCTATATATATATATAGACACACACATATACACACATCATGCAGTGTATATATATATATATAGACACACACGCGCACGGTGACGCTACACAGCGCCTGTGACGCGCTACGGAATTAGTAGCGCGACTCAGATGGGATCCCATCCGCTGTTTCTGGTTTTTTAGGCGCCACGGTAGCCCCACCACTTCTTAATTATTTTCGTTCCATTGCTCCTCCCCCGCGTCCTCTCTCCCCCCACCGTTCCCACATCCGTGAAAAAATTACTCACCCTTGATTTCTTTTTGTTCTGTTGGATAAGCACGCCAGCTGTCAATTCCCTTTCCAATTCTTTTTTTTATGCAAACACAGTGTTTGGAAAACTGTACGATTCTAACAAAATTATTTTGACTCCCAAGCCGCTGTTGCATATATCCAATGGCCACGAGTAAAAATATTACTATCTAATTAGATTAGGTCCGGTTAAAAAATTACCATATCTTATATGATTTCATCCGTAGTAAAAAAATGACTTATCATGTTATTTACTAAGAGAACCAGCAAAAAAAAATTCATGAGAAAAATCAGACCTCTATCTAAATGTCGTGAAAAATTTACTCGCATCTAATCAGTAATTTTTTTACTAAGAAGTAACAAAATGAGAGCCAAGATCAGTTAAAAAATTACTAGTCGTAGCCAAGATCAGTTAAAAAATTACTAGTCGTAACTAATAAATCCATCCAACTGTGGAGTGTTATTACGGAGTAATAATTTTACTACCGATTCACTGATAAAAATATTGTTACTGCCCAGTCATTCTGATGAGCTCAGTGATCTCCATTCATTGTAGTAATATTTTTACTTAGGTGTGCTTTTGCTTTTTTTTTTACTGAAATGTTCTTTTAATTATTTTTTTACATGCTCTGTACTCTCATTAGTTAGTTCCTATACCACAGAAAATATGTGAAATGACAATATTTACTATTCATGCTACTCTCACTGGTGGAGAAACCATCTTTCGTCGGCCAGCCTAATTCCACAATAGTCCCGGTTGCAACAAAAACCGGGACTAAAGACTTTAGTCCCGGTTAAAAAGGGTAACGGGCATATACGGGGACTAAAGATCATCTTTTGTCCTGGTTCAAATGCTGTCAGGTCTTGGCAGGCCCCCCCGAGAACTTTAGTCCACCAACCGGGACTAAAGATCGTAACTTAAGTCCCGGTTGGTGTTACCAACCGGGACTAAAGATCCCGGTGATCTTTAGCCCTGGTTCATTACACCAACCGGGACTGAAGTCCCACCCCTATATATATATACGTCTTCTTCCTCCTCTAGCCCGAGCAAGCTTCAAAATTTCTTCAAAAAAGAGGGGAGGTCATGCCAAAATTTCTAGTGAATTTATTTTGGTGATTATATACAAATCGGAGGTGCCTAAAATGTTAGCAACTTCATCCTCCAATGTTTTTTTTATCATATTACATTTGGAGCTATGTTTTGCACACTTTTTTGTCTCCAAAATTTTGTTGTTAGTTGATGAGAGAGAAAATTTGTGTGGGGAAGAAAGAATATATAAAAATTTAGTTTATTTGCTAAAGAAGGTTTTATAAAATAGTTGAGAAGGAAAATATAGTGAAAGTTAATCTTGAATAATAGAAAACAAACTAAAATGAAAAATTAAAATAAGTACGACACATTAATATTAGTTTAAAACTTTATAAATAGTAAATAAGAATTATTTAGTGTAATATTTCATAATTTTTGTATGAATAATGATATGTCATTATTGTGTGACTGTTGAAAGAGTTTGTAATTATTTTATAATTATTGTATGACTGTCATTATTTTACGAATAATTATTTGTGTACGATTTTTTTTCATGTCATGTAGATGGATCGGCAATGGATGTACGCTGACCGGCGGTCCAAAGAGTTTATTGACGACGTGCATTATTTTTTGAGAGTGGCCGAAGCTAACAGGCAAAAGGGTTTTATTTGTTGTCCATGCAATAAGTGTAAGAATCAGAAGGAGTATTCTGCATCCAGGACTATTGATTTCCACTTGTTTGAGTCGGGGTTCATACCAAGCTATAATTGTTGGACATCCCACGGAGAGCAAGGTGTTGAAATGGAAGAAGATGAAGTGGAAGACGACAATATTCCGGACTTTGCTCAGTACGCTGGATTTGAAGGAAATCAAACGGGCGAGGAGGAAAGGGATACTGATGGTAACAATGTTGCGGATGATCTTGGTCAGATGTTGCAGGACGCCAAGGAGGATTGCGAAAGTGAAAAGGGGGCCCATAAATTGGACAAGATGTTAGAGGACCACAGAACGTCGTTGTACCCAGGTTGCGAGCAGGGGCACAAAAAGTTGGATACCACTCTGGAGTTCTTGCAATGGAAGGCAAAAAAATGGTGTTAGTGACAAGGCATTTGGCGATTTATTGAAACTCGTCAAGAACATTCTTCCGGAGGGAAACAAATTGCCTGAGACAACGTACGAGGCTAAGAAGATAGTCTGCCCTCTAGGACTAGAAGTTCAGAAGATTCACGCATGTCCGAATGATTGTATCCTATATCGCGGTGAGGAGTACGAGAACCTAGAAGCATGCCCTGTTTGCCAAGCACTACGATATAAGATTAGACAAGATGATCTAGGAGAAGTTGACGGGCAGCTAACGAAGAAGAGAATTCCTGCTAAGGTGATGTGGTATTTCTCTATAATACCACGGCTAAGGCGTTTGTTCAGGAACAAGGGGAATGCTAGAATGATGCGATGACACGCTGAAGAGCGTCAACAGGACGGGATACTGAGACACCCCGCCGATGGTTCGCAGTGGCGAAACATCGACAGAAAATTTAAAGATTTTGGAAAGGACGCACGAAACATACGGTTTGGTTTAAGTACGGATAGCATGAATCCTTTTGGAGAGATGAGCAGCGGCCATAGCACTTGGCCTGTTACAATCTGTATCTACAACCTCCCCCCGTGGTTATGCATGAAGAGGAAGTACATAATGATGCCGATTATAATTCAAAGCCCCAAGCAACCTGGTAACGACATCGATGTGTACCTAAGACCACTGGTCGAAGATCTTAAACTGTTGTGGAAGAAGGAAGGTGTCCCCGTGTGGGACGAGGACAAACAGGAGGAGTTTAACCTACGAGCGCTGCTGTTCGTAACCATCAACGATTGGCCTGCACTTAGCAACCTATCCGGGCAGTCCAACAAGAGGTACAACGCTTGCACTCACTGTATGGATGAAACAGAAATAAGGCTTGTGTACATGGGTCATCATCGATTCCTTGCAGCAAACCACCCGGTACGGAAGAAAGGCAAGCACTTTGAACATAAGGCGGACCACCGTACGAAGCCTAAACATCGCAGCGGGAAAACAGTGTTTGCTATGGTTAAAGATCTTAAAGTAGTGTTTGGAAAGGGGCCTGGAAGCCCGCCTATAGAGAGCGAAGATGGTCACGCGGCAATGTGGAAAAAGAACTCTATATTTTGAGAGTTACCCTATTGGGAATTCTTGGACATCCGCCACGCAATCGACGTGATGCACCTCACTAAGAACCTTTGCGTAAACCTTCTTCGCTTCCTAGGTGTATATGGAAAGTCGAAAGATACACTGGAAGCACGTAATGATCTGAAGCATATGGAACAACGCGGTGACCTTCACCCGGAACCAAAGGAGAAAGGAAGCCATTACTTGAGTCCAGCCAGCTACACTCTTAGCAAGGCAGAGAAGGAAAGTATGTTTGAATGCTTGGAGAGTATAAAGGTACCGTCTGGATACTCCACGAATATAAAGCGAATAATAATTTAATATCTTGATATGCTAATTATATATGATTATTAGATTTTGTATTAATTTTAAATCATGCTTGTGCTATTTACATATGTTAATTAGAATTTTTAACAATTTAATATCATGCATATGCTAATTATATATGATTATTAGAATTTTTAACAATTTTAAATCATTCATGTGCTTATTATATATTATCCACGTATTCTACTACATACAACAATAATTTTTCGAAGGTTTTGTCATTAATTGTTCGACTTTAAATAATTGTAATGCATTATTTACTATTTTAGAAACACATATGCAATGAAATTCAAGACACAGCTGCTATTATCTTTAGTCCCGGTTCTTAACCCTAACCGGGTTCAAAACGAATTTGGAAATAGCGGGAAAAGATCTATAGTCTCGGTTGGTGAGAACATCCGGGAGTAAAAATATCTTTACTCCCGGTTCGTACGAACAACCGGGACTAAAGATCCGGGGGTATTTATATTCCCGGTGCGCCCTCGTCTTCTCCACCAACACTTAGACGTTTTTCGATCTCGGCTTCTCCTTCGCCGCAACCGTGCCTAGG